CATCTCATCAATCTCTCATCTCTCTCTCTCAACCTCTCTCGCTCTCCCTCACTCTCTCACTCCTCATCTCCCTCTCACTCCCTCTCACTCTCTCACTCTCACTCTCACTCTCTCACTCTCTCACTCCTCTCTCATCCTCTCACCCTTCACTCTCTCACTCTCTTCTCCTCCCCTCTCCTATCACTCTCCACACTCTCTCATCCTCTCCTACTCCTCTCTCAACTCTCCTCTCTCTTCACTCTCCCCCCTCTCAACCTCCTCTCACCTCCCACTCTCCATCCTCACGCTCTCTACTCGCCTCACTCCACTCTCAACTCTCCCTCACTCTCCCCCACTCTCTCCCCTCTCGCTCCTCACTCTCCCTCTCTCACTCTCTCACTCTCTCACTCCCTCACCTCTCTCTCACTCCCTCTCTCACTCTCCTCTCTCCCTCACTCCTCACTCTCTCTCACTCTCTCATATTCACTCTCTCACTCTCTCACTCTCTCACTCTCTCACTCTTCACTCTCTCACATCTCACTCTCTCACTCTTCTCAACTTTTTTTTTTTTTTTTTTTCGGTCTCACTCTCTCACTCTCTCTCACTTCTCTCAACTCTTCACTCTCTCACTCTTCTCACTCTCTCAATCTCTCACTCTCACTCGACACTCTCTACTCTCCACTCTCTCTCTCTTCTACTCTCTCTCTCTCTCTCTCTCTCTCTCTCTCTCTCTGTCTCTCGCTCTAGTTAGTTAGTAATTAATGCTTGAATTTGTTCGCCAGTGACCATACCCACTTTTTCTTCCCGAACCCGGTTGAGAGTTGTCAGCAGCGAGATTCGATCAGACGCCTAGACATTGCAGCCAGTGCATAGGTCTACGGTTTCCCTAAAGTTGCGAAAAGCAAAATACACACCTTAGGAAAAACAAGGCAGATGAAATGCATTACTTCCACAACGGCGCTCAGGGAGTCTATTACATTTCTCCCGCCGGAGCGGCTACTTCGAATGGAAGTTATGAACTATTCAAGATTTCGAGAGAACTGGTCTTACTGTTGAAATCTTACGTGTCTGATCTAACAATAAGTGAACAGCACAAAAAGGTGGCTCACTCCTCCTAATCGCGTAGCAATAATGTCGTACAGGTGTTTTTGCGTTAGCAGTTTTATCATGTGAAAGTTTCCCCGTTAGAAGTTTTTGCATCAGAAGCAGCGCCGTGTAGACAATTTTGCGTTAAAATTTATGTCGTATGGGAGTGATGTTACGTGAAAGCCTTGGCGTTAGACGTGCTGTAGCGAAGAAGGTCATGCATTACAAGTGCTATTGCGTAGAATGTTATGCATTAGAAGTTCTTGCATTGAAAGTGATGTCGGGTAGAAATAATGTTGCGGACGCTCTGTCGTTTGCAGTACTTATATAAGAAGTACTGTCGGCACTAGAGACGCAACTTTTCAGCCGACCGACCCGCCAATTTCTGACCCGCAATAACCCACGTGCTCTTGACTGTGTCACCGGCCAGACTTGACATGCTTTTGCGGGCCAAAAGTCGTTATAGCCAAATAATGTACATTTCCTAATTCTTAACTTAACGTCTGTGGCCTATTGAGATGCGGTAGAAGGAAGAAATCTGGAGTATTTTGGTGATTATAAATTTCATTTCGCCATCTTCCTTCTCATTTGTAGTTAATGTAGGCGTCCATTTTCCTGCCTCGTCGTTTTGCGCCACCCGTCCGGGACCAGAGAGGCTTCGCGGGCGGAACGTGGGAAAGCGAACCAGCCGGCCATGGTCCGGGGCTCCTTCCCCCTCACGAATAAACACGTCCATCGTGCCGAGAGATGAGTGCAGCTCGGCTCGACGATCCGACCGATCAGCTCACGTCGTCAGAACAACCCCAGGTGCTTCCCCCAGAACAGCCATGACAGCGGCCCCACCTGCCAAAATCATCCATCGCGCCAAAAGAAATGGAGGCAAGAGCGGGCGATCGGCGAAACAACATGCACCCAGGAACGCGCAAATAACATGTTGTGGGGATGTTTACTGTTCCGCCCCACCAACCCCGCCGCGCCGGCGCCACCGTCGCCCCAGATGCCGTCAGAAGAGCCACGCTACGTGAGAACTGGGCCAGAGAATGACGCGCAGGGCCCGCCCGAGGCGAGAGCGGGCGGATCTTGCGCCGTCGCCAGCGACGCCACGCCCGAGATCTGGCCTAGGGACACGTCGAAGGCCGGACTCTCCGAACAGTGCATGCCGGCCCGGCGACGTATTGGACGGATGGGGCGAGGCGGCAAACCCGCCTCGCGCCCTCCTCCGATGTTGCCTGGAGGTCGAAGGGAGACCGCCCGCCGGGGTGTTGAGGCATAGCGGTGAGGTGCACCGAGCCCGCTACATCTCGAGGGCTCGCCCGCAGTTCTGCGAGACCAGGGAAGGCTGCTTGCGGGGCGTCGTCCGGGACAGCGTTCAGAAGGAGACACGAACGCCATCTGTCAGCCGACATGGGCAATCGCGGCAGAGGGCAGCACCCGGCGGTGCGCGATGGCGGTGCGGGCACCCGCGACCCTCCGGTAGATGACAGTCTCTTGCGGTGTGCATGGGCGGAGCAGCCCACTGCTCGCGGCCCGCCGGCAAGCTGAGTAGCCCGGGGTGGCTACAACGAGGGACGAGGAGCCAGACGACCGTAGTCCTGCTTTTACGCAGATAGAGTAGGTAGCGCACTAGCACGCTACTATAGTATTTGTGGTAGCGCAGCTCAAGACACAGTTTCGCTCTTTTTTCGGAGACGGCTGACTCGTTTTATTGCTTCCCACTTGACCCCAGGCGTGACGGCCTGAAGAGGCATTGGTCATGATGTGACCCAGGACCCGTGGGGACCGCCCGGGATGCTTGGTTGTGCATGGCGGTAGCGGAGTCTATCCGTGGTGTCTCCGCCTTGGGAGAGGACAGGAGTCAGTCTGCTCCGTGGATACCGTGAGGCGTGGACGCGGGTCGTGCCGGGCGCTCGTCGTCTGCCGAGAGGCTCCACCGTTCCATAGAGTGTGCTGTCTACCCCCAGGCCTCTACACTTTGAACAGGGCTTAAGCGTGGCTTTATGGCAAGATCGTAACGTGATAAATGAATTTAACTTAACTTAACGAGGACCTGCGCCAACGATCCAATTATAGTGCCAGGACGCAGGAAAGAAGGGGGGGGGGGTCTCACCTGTGTGCGAGCCAAGGATGAATGGGAGGATGTGGGCGCCAGCGGGTGTGAATGCTCGGAGTGAGTGTGGTGGGGCGCCGAATGTATGGAGTCTGCGTGGATTAGTTAAGGCCGAGGGGGGGTCCCAGGGTCATTACCCAGCGGGCTCTTGCCAATATAATTCGCAAGTGCGTGGGACCCTAGCCAGTTGGGCGTACTAGTATGCATGCGGTTCCGTTTTTGCCCCATTTAAATATTATCCCAAGCTAAAGGGTGGGGGTGGGGTACCGTGGCTAACGGTGCACAGCCATGGGCAGGGAGACAGCCGTTCATGGCGCCTGACCGGACCACCATCCCGCCAATGCCCCGGTTACCCGCTTCATCCTAGCCCTGTGGCTCACATGAGTGTGCGTTGGTGTCGGGTGTACCGGAGCCACAACGTGCCAAGTCGTGCGCTAACATCATCTGGCTCGTATGCTGACCAATGGGCTCCTCATTATAAATTCGCTCTTGTGGGGAGACGGGACAGCGGTAGCCGGCGGCGTACAACATCCAGCGGCGGCCAGGCAGCCGCGCACGTCGCACACCGCAGGAACCCTTTTCTGCATTATAATTTTCATTGTGCAGGCGTTTTGATTGCTGCTCTCCGGGCAATATCACCAGCGTTAGTCAAGCAATGTTATGTATGATTTGTATTTTACATCAGCTGACATGCCACATACATACGTGGCTCTTACGTGTCATTAGCCTGAGAGATTAAACAGCATGTCAAAAAACAACAACAACGGAAAGTGATAAGCAATAAAAAAGATAAACGCATGTACGCATAAACAAAACGAGACAACCGTATCGCAGAAAAGGACCTGGAAGTGCGTTTACAACTTGTTGAGTTCAATCGTCTGACATTCATAAGCAACTGATTTATGAGAAACGTCGCTCGGTATGCAAAGGACCGATGTCCTGCCGCCATACGCATTGCCGGGGGGCGCGGGTTATGGTCCATGCCGGTAGTTCGGTCACTGGTCCGCACGTCAGCGCATGGTCGAAGCAAACAGGCAAGGCCTGCAGGTTCACATCGCTCATGGGCTTTGTGCGCAGCGATAACATTTCGTTCTTTGGCAAAGTGCAGGTCATCCCGCGCGCGAGGCACGTGACCAGGCTTTCGGAGGCCGGTAACTACTCTGGAAGCGAAGCTAATTGCTTTAAGTAGTCCGGTCTCGTTAGCAGCTGACCCCTGGCCATAAACCGAAATGCAGTATCCCACGTGCGAGGTGACTAGCTTCTGCAGTTTGGCCAGCCGCACTCGTTGGGTGAGGAAATGGCTCAAGTGGCGGAGGCCGACCAGGACGCCGGTGCACTGTTTTATCACTTTTTTATCACTGGCGTGTGCGTCCCAGCTCAGGAGGCGGTCAGATAGCACGTCCCAGCTTTTTATGGTCAGGCTCTCCAAAACGGTCTCCCCACCGACCCGTATACTGACGGGGGAAAGTCCGCGAGTGTTCTGTCTGGTACCAAGGTGGAGTTCGGTCTTGGACGCGTTGAGCTTGAGATCGTGGGCATGGCACCACGATACTAAGGAGGACGGGATGGTCTCCTTGCGTTGTATGGTGGAAAGTTGCATCTAACATCGGAAATGAGGGTTTAGGTGCCGTCAGCGTACTGGATCACATGAGCATCTGGTGCCTGCAGGCTTAAAATAAATAAAAGAGGACCAAGGGCTGATCCCTGGAAGGTTCCCATGGTGCTGAGGAGGGGCTGGGACCACTCTGTCACCAGAGGAAGACGAGATGCAGACTGGTCAGAAATGACCAGGAGGATAGGAGAACCAAGCCGGACTATTGCTATAGAGATGGAGGTTGGAAAGTAGTTGAGCATGACGAATGACGTCGAAGCATCTGCTGAGATCCAGGAGGTACTGAATGAAAAATGATCGCAATTCATGACATGGCCGGTTACAGTGAGCAGAGCAGTCTCACTGGAATGGCAGGGACGTAAATCATGTTGGCATGAGGACAGAAAATTATTGTCGAACATATAGTTAACACCTGGCGCTGCACCACACGCTCGACAATTTTAGCCATGATAGGAACGTAAAAATAGGACAGTAATTGGAGACCAGGGCTGGATCGCCGTACTTGGAAACATAACGAACTAGGGAGTGCTTCCAGGAATCGGAAAAACCGCAGGAGGTGAGGCAAATGTTGATAGTAAGGGGATGGATTGGACCGATGACGTCAAACCAGAGCAGCAGGGCATCAATACAAACGCCATCAGGTCCACACGTCCCAGAACACTCCCTGAAGAGCATGACCTCGTGCAGCCCGTCAACGGTCGCGCTAGTCACCCGGAGACCGCAATCGCTCAGCCTGGGCAGGCGACATGGGGCGTCCGAGATCGACCAGGTTGGCTGTGACACGGGGCATTCACCTCGTCCGGGGTCGCCACTGGCAAATTGCGAGCACCGCTCTTTTTCCCCGCCAACAGCGCGCGGATAATGCGGCACAGAGAACTGTTCCCTGGCCGCGCAGCCTCTCCACAACATCCGCCCAGCAGTCACGCCTGATCGCCGGACTCACCCCGCGGTCCAGCTCGCGGAAAGCCGGCGATCTCGGCCTCGTGACGCAGCACGCCCTCCGCTGTGTCATGAGGTCAAGGGCCACCGGGGTGACAGCTGGTGCCCTCAATGGATTCCTTAATGACAGCAGTTTGATCGGAGTGTGTTTGTGAATGATTGGTAGAAGACTGTCTAGCATATGGGACCACATTTCAGCGACTAATGAGCGTCTTAAAACACCGAACCAGCCGATATGGTACAAACCACGAAGCAAACAAACATGATCAAACCGTTTCAACAGTCGACTATGGATATGAAGAGGCTTGACAGGACACTTGGACAAAAGTAAGAGCGTGTGAACAAAATGGTGAGGGCTAAAACCACAGTGAAAAGCTCCTTCACGCTGAACGACGTTATCTAAATAAGAAATGATCACGTCCAAAAGTGACCCGGGAGAAAAGGTGGATAACCTGGTGCAGAAGAAACGATCTCAAAACCGCCGCACTCCGACAGCCGACCTCTCCTGACCGGTCCGCACAGTGCAGCGCCTAGCCGGGGACTGTGACCGGCCTGGACGCAATAGCTGATCGAAGCCACGTCTCGGTTATCACGCAAAAGTCGTAATGGAGCCAGTTTAGATGGTCATGCTGCAGTGTAACTGTCTCCAGCAGCAGGGACTGGATGTTGCTCGGTCCCATCAGTAGCTTCCGACGACACCTGTCAGCCCCTGCAGCCCCGACGCCTGGTGCCGGCACCGTCTCTACCGCGCCGGGCAACGCGAACGACCGATGGCAGGTCACGGTCAAGGTCACCGCGGCCGGGGTGCGGGGCGAGGTCGCTTCGAGAGCGGCCAGCGTGTCGGCAGGGCTCATGGGCTGGGGGTCGCTACTGGATGATGTCAGTGACGATCATGCGGATCCGAATCGAAGAGGTTGCCGTGATGCTGGTTTCGCAGCTTTTACGAGCAGGTACGTCAACACCAGCAGCACCAGATGGCTGGCAAGCTCGCGATGCATCTTTATCGCGGCAGAAAAAGGCCGTTTCGCTCAGCAAAGTATTTCGTCGAGCATACTGTTTCGTTGAGCAGACTTTTTCGTCGGACTAGCACGGAATTCACGTGACAGTTCGTCACGCAGGTGATCACTCTCTCGCACAGACAGTGTCACTGGCATACACGTGGGACGAGACACAGCGCGGCGAGGCAGGGAGGAGTGAAACTTCAGGCAACGCAGCCGACCGGCAGCGCCGCGCGCGAGGAACTGACGACACTAACATGCCGTTTTGTTACACTTTAATTTTAAGATGTAAAATTAAGGTGAAATGATGAAGTGCGCGCTTCAATAAATTAGTACTTGCTGGTCAATGGCAGATCAGCATCGCAGCATAGCGGGCTTCTGCAGGCTGGATCGCTAACTAGGCGGGCGGGTTGGGCTGCGGGCTGATATTTTGGAGAAAGTTGCATCTCTAGTCGGCACACCCACCACAAATGCGAGTGTTGGGTGTGGTGTAGCTCTGGCGTGGCTCATTTTCGGCAGCCTATGCCTTGGCTGACGAACACGGCCCGTAGTCCGCGACTGCCCGAACGGTGCGGCGTTGAGTGGACCGAACGCCCGACCACGTCCCTGAGCGTTGCACGCTCAAAAAACCGAGGGCTCAAAGGTCGGACGTAAACGGACCCTGCGCTATCTGGCCGACCTTACGCGCTCACAGCTGCCTGCCAGTGGCGTTCGGACGGCCTAACGGCCGCCGGACGCAGCGCAACGCGGTAGCTGTCACGGCTCGCCTCTGGAGCGTGTCAGGCAGAGGCGCGCGTGCTACCGTTTCTTGGTGGGGAAGCGCTGAGCGGTGCATGCCCGGTGTATTGCGCAAGCCAGAGCTTGTGAACTATGAAACGTTCGCATTGAAGTTGTAGCGGAAATTTGTGTACGAGGTGTCGTAGTGCTAGCCAGTTGGTTTGCTACTGATGATGTGTTGCTGGGCCCTCCGCATGGACGCAAAAAGGTACTTAAAAAACACTGCCCGCACACACAGCGTCCTTAAGTGTGGTGCGCATATGAGTGTTATACAATCCCACGATATGCCTAGTTATCAGATAACACCAAGGTGACATTGATCTGGCCCCATAGCAGCAGCGGCTGTGACCTGCACGGCGGCATTTGGGCGCACCCGCACGCCCGTGGCCAGATGGGGGCCACACCCTTGGCCGTCGGCGCGGAGCTGTCTCACCTCGCGCCTCTCGGAGAGATAACAAACCACACGGTCCGAGAGGCGGCTCGCGACGCCGGCCAGCAGTGGTGGGGGACCGGTGGCCGAGACATCATGGCGGAGTCGCGCCTCCCGCCGCTGCTGGCCGCCGCCGTCCTGCTCGGCGCCGCCCTGCTCCTGACCTGGCGACGTCGGCGTCGCGCCGGCGCCGCCGCCGCCTGGACGCCGGCCGGCCGGCTCGCCGCCATCCACCTGTACCCGCTCAAGTCGGGCGCCGGCCAGCGCTGCCAGCGGGTCCGTTTGACGCATCTGGGCGTGCGGCGCGGCGCCGTCCTCGACCGCTGCCTGGCCGTCGTCTGCCAGGGCAAGGCGCTGTTCGCCAGCACACGCCGCCGCCTGGTGCTCGTCGCCGCCGACGTGGACGGGGACGGCGTCACACTGACGGCACCCGGGATGCCGCCGCTGACCGTGCCGCTGCCGCAGGACGGCGACGACGTCAGCACGATGACGGTCGACTTCAACGGCCATCCAGACTCCGGCGTCGACCTGGGGCCGGCCGTGGCCAAGTGGCTGGCCGAGTTCTTCAACGACGGCAAGGAGTACGCGATGATGTACTTCCTGTCAGATGTGGTGACGCCGCGCAGAACTGTGAACCTCCCAAGGCCGTACGTGCATCTCGCCTCACCTGAGGACATCATGTCTTACAACTTCGTGTCGGCGGCGTCGATCATCTGCTCGTCATCACTGGACGAGCTCAACTCGCGCTTGAAGACGCCAGTTTCTCTCGAGAACTTCCGTCACAACTTCATCGTGGAAGGCGCCCCTGCCTTTGACGACGACAATTGGAGCTTCATCAAGATTGGTGACGCGGTGATGCGCAGGATCAAACCCGTTCACCGGTGCGGCATCACCTGCGTCGACCCCAAGACCGGCGAGCGCAGCGAACAGATGGAACCGCTGAAGACCCTGAAGACGTTCCGGCTGGCTAAGACGGAGGAGGAGAAGAAGCTGTACAAAGAAGCTCCGCTGTTTGGAAGTGCGCTGGGTGTGGACGTGGAGGGCGAGATGGCTGTGGGAGATACGGTATACGTGCTCCGGAAATGAGGGAGCTGGTTAGGACATCGGTACGCACTCTTCGGACTTGATGCCATTCCGTTGCAATACCGTAGGTGCATTTTTCTTTGTGCAGATTGGTTGGTGGACTTCACGTCCACTCAACCCACGCCAGGCCTGGCTCTTGGGCCATCCGCAGGGCCAGGACAAAGGGGTGTTTGAACGCACTTTCCCAGCACCTCGTATTCCACACATGTAAGACAAAACGATGGAAAAGTGACTGAAAGAAGCCGAAGCCACTTAAAAATTTGGCACCAGATTAACTTGTCACCAAAAGCAGCCAAGGGCAGAGCACGTAGACGAAAATCTAACACAGCCAAGGGCGGCGCCACCAATTTCTGACAGGGGAAACGGGACCCTAAAGCCATCACGACACTTGAATAAATAACGGATGAGAAGTCGAGTTTAAGAACTGGCGTTCTGTTGAATGGACATTGCTATGCAAATGCCTCGTGTGCCTTGCACTGCACCACCATAAGGCATGGCGGCGCGGAAACTGGGTATGGGGCAGGGCCGCCGCACGCTGAAATTGCATTCAGTTGTGGCTGAACTGGCGGGCGTGGTCATGAGAAGCCGATCAAGCTTGACGACTTGAGGGTGGGCTCCCGCGCCCTGTGCCTTGCATTGCTTAAAACACTGTGACGTGAGTGGCGGTGGGGAGAGTAGGGCGGATACACTAGTCTCCTTGACAAATGGCAAAGGGACAGTTGAGCCCTGACACTTCTGGTGGCGCTGCACCTGGGCGCCTCTGCAGGGTTTGTATACACAGATTCTAAGCGACCAGGGAGTATACACAGATTCTACGCGACCAGGCTGCTGCTCATTTGTGCGGGGGTTTCAACGGAATAACCAGCTTGAAGAACATTTGGTGCAGTTCACAGCTCTGCCCTTCTTAAAGCCTGAACCCCTCTGGTTTCTACGCTGCACGCCCGCGAAGATGTGGCTTTTTCCAAGGTTGCCCAGGCATCCATGACGTCATGATATCGTCATTCAACTCACGGACAGCTGTGCCGGAATACCACGAAAAAGGGCCAAAAGATGAGTACATAACAGTGTTTGGCTGAACGAACGCTTCCAGCCCGTGCTGCCATCTCTCGACGAATTGGAGTGCACCGGGCATCGCCTGCCATCAAGAGTTCAGATGCTCCGCGGTACATCAGCAAACATCGGGCGGCATTTTCGGCGCGCGCTTGAACAGCGGCTCATGGACGGGCGTGATCGGGATGATCGCGCAAGACCCATTGCAGTGCATCCCAGCGCCGTGGACCACCGAAGTAGAGTGTTACTGCACGCCGGAAATGTGTCCTCCGCTCTCGTCGCCATCATGGCTTGCCTCATCTCCTTGCCCGAAATTATGAACGTGCTCGAAACAGGCGAATCGTAAGCAATCTCAAACGCTATTTTTGACACATCTGTAGCAGTTCACTGCTGCTAGCTATACCCCGAACCAACTGTGGATACCAGTTCAAGCACTGTCCACAAAACGTGCGTCTTTTTCATTGCATTCTTTACGCGTTAATGACCAAAGCCGTACCGCGATGCCTTTTGTTACCAATGCCCTCGCTGAGGGCTCCACTCAACGCGGTTCCTCCGGAATTTGCTATGCAGGCCTGTGTTTGCTTACATGATAATTGCTTTGTTTCTTGGTTAGATATAAAGACCGTTACTTTTCCAGCAAAATTTTTGTAATCGGCTGATTTGATCTGTTATGATTAAAATCTCTTAAAATGAGTGCTCAAATGGTGATATTCACCTTGTAAATTTAATTTGGAAGACATTTCTTGAATATTTCACTCCTGCATTTCGGGAGTGATGCAATTTAGTGGTCAATTTTCTCGGGGAAAAAGAAATACGAGGAGTAAGATTCTCTACCAGGCTGGCGTTTGCACCAGACTCTGCTTTCGTGGTGTGGCGGTGAGACGAAAAAATAGGGGATGCGTGAAAACCTTGCATTTGGCACACAGCTGCCGATTGTGATGCATTTTGTAAACAAACCAAACTTAATGCGTGCAAACGGCTGGAGTCGCTAGGGTTCTTGGGCTTGGAGGTACCTAGCGCCCTTGCTCTGCGCATACATAGACATGATTCAGATGTAGGTGAGGCAGGACATAGCCATAGGCGTCCAGGTTCTGTGGTGCCTCGTTTATGCTTGGTGGTTTCAAGTGAGCTCGGTTTTGGATGACATCTGAAAACCTCAGAAAGGGAAAAAGCGGTTTGGCGTGTGCGATTAGACAATGTCAGGCGGGAGTGAAAAATTCACATAAAATATGGGGAAAAAGAGTGAAAATTCCTCCTCATATGGCGTTGATTTACACCCAATGTCGGCAATTCTAGGATACTGGCTCCTTCTAGCACGCGCTCCGCACCGCAGGTGTTATACGGTACTCGGTAGCCTGACTCAACAGTCTCTCTGGTTTGACACCCTCGGCCCATTTCCACACCACAGTTCACTTCCTCTTTTCTCTGTCATACGTGGCCCGGAAGTCCGTCTCTCTCACATTTACCACTGCGCGTGCAGCCTGTATCGACGAGTACCTCGCACTCAGCTCCCCCAGCAGCAGCATTCTAACCGGCAGCGCGCCGCAACACCTCAGTCCCCAGAAGAGGACGGCGCACGAGCCTCCTCTCGATCCCCGTTTCCCGAACATTGGGCTGCCATATGTCCCCGACCATCACAGCGGTAGCACTGGATATCCCCTGTATTACCGCCTGCACGTGCAGAGCACTGCCGCGCGATGTGGCCCGGGTGACCACATGCGTAGCACAGTACACGCCTGTTCGGTCTGCCGTACGAACCCGGCTGCCGTGTGAGTGGCCCTCGTCGTGTCAGCGCGGCTGCCTCCTCCGGTCCGTCGCCCTCCTCTCGGAGGACGGCGCGCGGCTGCCTCCTCCGGTCCGTCGCCCTCCTCTCGGAGGACGGCGCGCGGCTGCCTCCTCCGGTCCGTCGCCCTCCTCTCGGAGGACGGCGCGCGGCTGCCTCCTCCGGTCCGTCGCCCTCCTCTCAGAGGACGGCTCCGGCGCGGTCCACGATCGCGGTAAGAGAGAGGGACTCCATCCTCGTGCCGGCACGTAGCAGCTGTTTGATCGATTCGGGCAAACCGGCCACAAAAGCGCAGCCTACGCCCTCCTCTGACAACCCGCCAAACAGCGTCGCCAGCTGCTGCGGCTCGCCAAATACGTCGCCCACGGATTCGTCTACGGATTCACCAGCGCGCAGCCGTCGTGCCGTAAACAGCTCGTATGCCGCGAACTTGTCCACGGCGCAGGCACGACGTAGAGCTCTCTTCACTTGCTCGGCGTCTCTCCTGTGCCCTGTTGATAGCTGCCGGTAGACGGCCGAGGCGCCGCCTTTCAGACGTGACGGGATGATTATCGCAACATCCGCCTCTGGCTGCTGCAGACTGCACACCACCTGCACCTTCTCGAGCCAGTCCGCGATATCGCCGGTGCCATCAAATTCAGGGATAAGTTTAACGCCAAAAATTGCTATGGGTAACAGCCGAAATAGCTTGTGGGATAACGAAACAAAGAAGAGCTCGGCTGACTGTATTTGAAACGTTCCCGGCACCTCCCGGCGACCCCCCCCCGCGCATCTCCTCTCTCCCACTGCCGCAGCGCTGGCCGGTCCGGGCGGCAGTCAGCTGACTCAGCCGCCCCACAGGGCTGAGGAGACGACCCCACACGTATCGGCCGGTCGGCTCGGCGTACGGACAGCTCACTAGCTTCCGTGCGGAGCGTTACGTCAAGAGACGCTTGATACGCCTTGATACCCTTCCTGGCCATTGGCCAGTGGTTAAGGTCCCCCGGGCAAGGAGAAGTGTGAGTGGTACTTACTTGACCAGGACATTTGTATCTTGTGCATACATTCATGCAGACTGCTAGTATACTGTGTTCCGGTAGGAAAAGTAACGGTCTTTGTATCTGTTTAACTACTTTCATTTTTCTTGGCACCATATGAGTGTGATACCACTTTATTCTTCCTTTCCTTTGGGTTGTTTTTAGAGGTACCATCTGTTGCTTGAAATGTTGACCAATTTGTTCGCAAGATTCTTTAACTGCGAACTTGTACGTATTTCATACCTAAATTGGATTAATTCGCCAGCCGCCCAAACATGCTTGATATGCACCCAAGAGTGCACAATTAACAGGGAATGAAGGAGACAATTTGAAGCACGGAACTTATTTCTACCGCCATTTGTGCCCTGTTAAACCCTCGTTTAACCTTTGTCACGGTTCATGGCGGTGCTCAATAATGATAAATATAAGGCTTTCGAGTGTCTAACTCACCAGGCTACCTGACAAGGCCATCCTAATACTGCCATACAGAGCTTTGGGACAGACCTGACGCAGCTAATACAGAAGTGTTTGATGGCAAAATTCTGCCCTCTGGAGATGTTTATCATGCACACCTCTTGCTTGTTTCGCATTTTAATCTCGTAGGTTGGTGGGCACGATTTATATTTATATTTTTTGGGTGAGTGGGATGACTGTCTGCCAGCAGACCATGCAAAAGCACTGACTTTTTGTCTTGGGGGAGCAGGAAGAAGCCAGTAAGTCCTGTAAACCGAGTAATTGCTTACCTTACCTGCTTTCACCACATGAGTGGTAACCAGGGTAAGCCATCTCCTGTTTCAATCAATCGAGTTTTGTCAGAAGACAAATTATGATGCTACAAGGCATGCAGTGGGCTTATTTTGTTCCATATTCTTAATTATTTGCCCCAAATTTCTTGAAGTGGTCCCTCATGGTTGCTTTAACCAGGAGTTTTCTATAGTTGTCATGGCTTGCTGACTGGCAAATGACTACTCTATATAACTAACCTAACCTAACCTAACCTAACCTAACCTAACCTAACCTAACCTAACCTAACCTAACCTAACCTAACCTAACCTAACCTAACCTAACCTAACCTAGCCTAGCCTAGCCTAGCCTAACCTAACCTAACTAACCTAACCTAACCTAACCTAACCTAACCTAGCCTAGCCTAGCCT